TTGCATTTGAATAAATTCTCTTTAAACTACATTCTGAGCTAGTGATATAGCAAGACTCCACCTCTAAAATTTTTTCTTCATTAGCTAGGTATAGGGGTGCATATCTGTAGTCCCAGCTACTCAGGAGGCTATGGTGGGATGATTGCACCACTGCACTCTAGCCTGAGTGACAGAGTGAGACCCTGTCTCTAAAAACAAACAAACAAACAAACAACAACAAAAAGACTGCATGCTGACTCTTTTGATTATTCTATGTTGACATGTTGATGGACATTTGAGGTGTCTCTATCTTTTGGCTATTGTGAATAAGATTGCTATGAACATGGGTGTTGGCCTCATTACTTTTTCTTCAATCTGCCCTGCGCACTTCCACATGAGGACTTCGCAGTGGCTGTTCCCTCTGCCTGGAATGCTGTTCTCCAAGGGATCCACATGGCTCACTTTCTTCAAGTCTTTGCTCAAATGGTGCCTTCTCAATGAGGCCTACCCTGACCGCACTATAAGTTCTGCAACCTGGCACTCCTTGTTCTCTTTACTCTGTTTTTTTCTACAGCACTTACCACTTTCTAATGTGCTATATAATATTCTTATTTAGTGTATTAATTGTTTAGGATCTGTGTCTCTCCATGAGAATGTCAACTCCCTGAGGGCAAGGATCAATGTCGGTTTTGTTTATCTCAGGCACTCATGTAGGTAGGTGCTTAATACATAGTTTGTTGAATGAACCTAAAATCACAAGCCTAAGTCATTTGCTGAGTTATAGATTTTAAAGCGGAGTCATGAGACGAATGTGTTAGATGTTCTAACATGCCAAACTCTCTTAAATCCCTCAAATACTTAAAATACCATATACACACAGATTGTTTCAAATCTGGGTTAAAATTGAGCTTAACTTCTCAACTGGCTGAAAGTGCGTATCTCTGAAGATGTAGGTCAGGGAATGAGATCTGAAGCTGCAGACAACCAGCGTGACTTTTTCTCATGACCTGAGGACCATGCTGTGCTCTTGATTGTCCTTCTCCCTGCACATAGGGCCACCGTGCAGGTTGTGTGCAGCACAGTTGGGAGTGGGGTGGGGTGGGGGTAAGTGGATGCTGAAATCCAGTCTGTGCCCCACTTGCCAAATGCAGGGCTCGAGTGCCAGCACAGGGTTGTGTCCGTTGGAGAGAAGGGAGTGGCACCTCTTTCCCATTTGCCATAGGCCCCGATGGGCTGGGAGTGGTCCTGCTTTGTCAAAGAGGATGCCAGCCCACTACCTGCAAATTGGTTGGCTTTGCAGCTCACATCTCCCAAGTCAATTCCATGTTTCCTGATTTTCAGGTTTGTTGAGGCTGTTCCCCCACCCACTATTGGATTTAATGAATCCAGTTGCTATGTGATTCTATTCTGAGTTCTTTTTGTAGACATCCCATCTGGCAAGGCCATGACTCTCAAAGCTATTTCTATGACACCAGATTGGATCCTCATACCCTCATGCTATTGTCTGACTCAGCATGACACAACAGCCAAGGCATCTGAATCACACCGCTCTTCCTTTTTCTTTATTTAACAAACATTTACATAGTCCTTCCCCTGTGCCAGGCGCTGTCCTAACACTTTCCAAATATTAAGCTATTTAACCTTCCAATCTAAGAGGTGGGTACTATAATTATCTCATTTTACAGATGAGGAAACCAAAGCTCAGAGAATTTAAGTGACCCGCCCAGGGTTCACGTGGCCATAGGTGGCAGGGCTGGGATTCAAACCCAGGTGGACTTTCGCTCCATCTTGGCTTTTTTCTTGTCATTCTTTCCCTCTCTCTTCCTCTTCCTTTCTCCCCTCGTTTTCTCTTCCCTTTCTTCTTTCCTCATTCCCTACTTCCTTCCTGATAGAGCCACAGCAACCGCCACCTGCTTCCCTCGGACACTGCCCAGCCCAGCACACCTTGCCCCCCATCCTCCAGGCAAGGCTCTGCCAGGCTGTCCGTCATCACCCTCATTTCCCTGTGCCAGCAGACAGGGTGTGCCAACCTCAACCCTGTCAACCCGCTGGCTCCGACCACAGCAGCTGGCAGAGGCCTGGAAGCTGGGGCCAGGCCAGCTTGGAGGGCAGTTGGCACTTCGGGAAGTTACACGATGTGCCCAGACCTTCTCCAATGATGTTTATGTTACCCATATCATAATTCATTTTCTTGCCCAGGGATTTTAATGTGGGCAAGATGGTTTGTGCTGCTTGGGATAAACTTAGACAAATAAGGGGCCAAAAGAAAGTGAGAAGTGAGATAGAGGGATAGAGAGACAGAAAGAAATAGAGAACCCTAAGGCAGGGGGCAAGCGTGAAGAGACCCAGGTGTCCAAGATTCTCTCACTAGAAGTGGCTGCCTACAGTTTTAGGAACAAGGAGGAGTGGCTTGATATTATCCCTCTATGTGTGAATGAACTTCTGAGTTTCTCAAAGGACTCATGCTCTTCTCCATAACTATGCCTTTGCATATGCGGTTCCCCTGGCCTGGAAGGCCCTTCCTAATCGTTTCTACCCGAGGACCGGGGACCATGCTCACGTGCTGCCCGCTTATGGGAACCCTTTCCTGAATTCCTGCGGGGGACTCTGCTGGTCTCTCCTCTGACACCATAGCATCTGTGTGCACATGCATACTTCTGTTTTGAACTAATTGGCTTACATCCCCTCTCTATGCCCAGTACAGGAGTGGTGGCTGGAGGAGGCTGAGGAGGTACAGGAAGTCTATCAGCACATCACAGAAAAGTGACGGGAAAGGAAAAGTGGGGATTGTGAAAGCCTCAAGGCAAGGTGACTCTGGGTTCAAGGCTCACCAGCTGGTGACCTTGGGCAAGTCACCTAACCTCTCTGTGCCTCAGCTTCCCTTCTATAAAATGGGAATAATATTACATTTTGTACAGTTTGTGCATCATTGAGTTGTGTGAGAATGAAATGAGTTAAGATATGGAAAGCACATAGAACAGTGTCTGGCGTGTACAAATCCCTCAGTCAATATTAGTCATTATTATTATCAAACTGGAAATAGTCAGAGTTGCCTAAAGGATTAAAGAAAGTACTTTTGATGAAGTGTGAAGCATATAGGAAAGTCTTTGTGATTATCATTAACAATATCAAGAGCAGTGCTCAATCCATTGTGATTTCCAGAATTAACTTACAAGGTGAGGCCACATTGCTATTGCTTTTTTGAGCAAATGAAATGATGAATATGATTTTTTTTCTTTTCTTTTCTTTATTTCTTTTTTCTTTTCTTTTCTTTTTTTTTTTTTTTTTGAGGCGGAGTTTCACTTTGTCGCCCAGGTTGGAGTGCAGTGGTATGATCTCAGCTCCCTGCAATCTCCCCCTCCCAGGTTCAAGCGATTCTCCTGCCTCAACCTCCTGAGTAGCTGGGATTACAGGCATGCGACACCATACCCGGCTAATGTTTTATATTTTTGGTAGAGATGGAGTTTCACCATGTTGGCCAGGCTGGTCTTGAACTCCTGACCTCAAGTTATCTGCCCACCTCGGCCTCCCAAAGTGCTGGGATTACAGGCGTGAGCCACCGCGCCTAACCAAATATGATGTTTTTTTGTAAATGATAAAATGACAAGCAAAAATCGTGATGGTTTAATAAACGTTCATTGCCCGACCCAAAACGTAGTCCTGCCTGTAAGTGTGGCTCGTTCTGGGACCTCTGTGGCCTCAGACTTTCAAGAGGGTGGTTTTACTCCCAAAGTCCTCGTTTTGGGGACCTAAGGCAGAAGCTAGTGATGGACAAGGGGAGTTGGGCATGTTGCTTTGCTTCTGTCAGGTTAGGAAACCTCTTCCTTGTCTGTATCAGTAAACAAACGGAAGTCATTATTCGCTTCTGCCGACATTGTAACGTTAAAAAAAAATTGACCAGCAGATTGAGAGAAAAGGCTAAGTCACTGGCGCCAATTTCTTCTGTACAGATGGGAGAACTCAGGCCAAGAAAGGGGAAAGGACCTGTTCAAAGCCACAAAGTAAGGACTAGCACCTAGATCTCTAGACCCCTAGTTCCCTGCCCTTTCACTGGTGATTGCCTTCCAAAAACTCAATGCTCTCCCAATTCGGAGCCCCATGTCCTTAAATGGAAGGTGATGAAGGCGCAGTGCTCCTGTCCAGAGACCAGGTGGGGAAGACTCTTTGGAGGCAGGGAAAGTGAGACGGGCAAAGCCAGTATGCAGGACACCCCCCCTACCGTGCAATTACCTCAATCTTCACAACCCTGTGAGGCGGAGACTATCATTATTATCCCCATTTTACTTCTGTAAAAGAGGGCCAGTAACACTGCAGGGATGTAAACGGAGGCCCAGGATCGTCCAATCGTCCCATCGTTCTCTGCAGCTCTTCCTCCTGGAGCCTGGCCATTGCTAAGGTCCAGAACGTGTGCAGAGCACAAAGCAAATAGGTCTCCGGTACTGGGATGAGGTTTTGACTCTCTATACCCCATGGTACCCAGCACAGCGCAGGCACGGGGTAGGTCCTGGCTGATCAATCGTCCTGCCTTTTGAAAATGCCATCTTTTCCACAGGTTTGGCCATGCTGTACACCCCCAGGATACACCTTCTCATACCAAGTCTCCACTCTCATGTGGTTCTATTCTAGGACTTTCCACCGCCTCCACGTCCCCTGAATATTTTTTCTGTCTCCAGCTCTCAGGAACTTTGACTCCTTGGCTGCCTTATTCTTTGTGCATACTGGTCAAGAGCCAAAGATCTACCGGCCTCAGCTTTCCCAGCTGTACAATGGGGTGCCGAGCCAGTGGCTGGCTTTGACGCGCTGCTAGATTGGAATCCGAGACATAAGAACCGCACAAAATTACCAAGTCCCACCTCCTCTCCCCGCCCCCGTCCCCGCTCTCTTTCGGAAAGCGCCTGCGCAGAAGCCGCCGGACCACCCTCCACGATTCGAATCCGTATCCGCCCTTTTCGCTGCCTCGAAGACTCGGCGCTCGACAGGCGTCTACTAGCCTGTCTTCCGGTTTCGTCGCCGCCGCAGGCGCACCTGCCGAGTTCCGAGCGACCGATGGAGATGGCGGCCGCGGCTGTGTGAGGGACGGTGGAGGCCCGGGCCCGAGGACGGGACAGGCCTGCGTGTCCGCAGGAGCCCGGCCGGGTACAGAGGGTCAGGCCTAGTCTGAGGGACGGGGACACGACTCCTCCAGAACGGAGATGGGCCGGCCCTGTGGGTGTGGACCGTGTGTGGTTGTGGTGGGTGTGACGTGAGAGGTGGGAGATGCGGCTTTCAGGCCGTGCGTTTCGCTTGTGTGTGCTTGTGATGATTGGGCCCTGTGCGGTTACGCGGGGCATACACACTTGGGTTTGGTTGTGCAGCTGTGGGGGGAGTGGGTGGGTGCTTGTCTCCCGAGCGGTTGTGTTTGATTCTCTGGTTGTGTAAAGCTGAAGCGTTTGTGTTCTGAGTTCGTGTAGAGATGTTTGGAGTGTTTTGTGTGGTGTCTGTGCGGTGTGTGACGTTGTCATGTCTGCTTCACGGGGTTGAGTCGTTCGTGTTGTGTGTGGTCATGCGACGTGTGTATAATCGTGTTAGTTACGTGGGTTGTGGTTGTGTGCGGTCGTGAGGGCGGGTTGAGTGCGGCTGTGGGATATGTCGTCGATGCGGCATGTGGCGGGGTGACATTCGTGCTGGATGTACGGTTGCAGAACATGTAGGTTTTTGTTCTTGTTTTTTACTTTTTACGTGATTTAAGAGTGCAAGGGGCTTGCGTATGTGTTCAGTTACGGTTGTGGGGTCCGATTCGGTGGTTTCTTTATGGTGTATGCTTAGTTATATGATTTTGGAGTTCATTCATTTGTTCGTTCTTTCATGGAGATTTATTGTGCTTCTTCATTGTGTGTGCCAGGTACTGTGCTAAACCTTGGGGAGACGGCGAAGGGGAAAACATACAGAGTTTGTGCCCTCCCAGATTTTTCAGTCTTACTTGGTCACTTCACGTATGTACCTGCGGTTATAAATTGAGATGAGTGCTGTGAAGGAGAAGTCCATTCTGATGCTCTGAGTAAGAGACATTTCTTTGAGGAAGTGAGGTTTGGGTTTGGGCTGAGGCGTGAAGGGTGGTTTTGTGGCATGGATGTGGTGGGCTTTGTGTTTGATTTGTGGTCGTATGGGGTGAGTGCATGGGAAGAAAGGGCGCTGTCACAGTCAGCATCAGATGAACCACTGGCTGGGGAGGGAAGAGGCCAGACCTAGAGCTACTATATTTCAGTGGAAAATGTATGAAGTCACTGGGTTTCTTAACTAGAGGGGAAAAATAGGGTCCTGGTGTCTCATTTGTTTATTTTCTGAGTTGCTGCCACCCTTCAGCTTTGAGGACCAGGCAGTCCCTCCTCAGTGGTCTTCTACAGTCCATCCAAAGCTGAGGGTCACACATCCCCCCTCACTATATACTGTGGCTTGTAGCCCCAGGTTCTTGGGGAGAAATTTCTCTGCTTTTGTGGAATGGTTTTGTCTCAATTTCTCTTGTGACTGAGAGTCTTGATGAGGTGACATTGGAAGTGACTTTGCCATGGGCCAGTAAGACAGAGAATGTAACTTATTAAGCCCTGAAATGTTTAGACACCAAAGCCTTTTATTTATTTATTTACTTACTTTTTTGAGACAGAGTTTCGCTCTTGTTGCCCAGGCTGGAGTGCAATGGCGTGATGTCAGCTCACTGCAACTTCTGCCTCCTGGGTTCAAGCATTTCTCCTGCCTCAGTCCCCCCACTAGCTAGGATTACAGGTGCCTACTGGCTAATTTTTGTATTTTTAGTAGAGATGGGATTTCACCATGTTGGCCAGGCTGGTCTTGAACCCCTGACCTCAGGTGATCCGCCTGCCTTGGCCTCCCAAAGTGCTGGGATTACAGGCATGAGCCACCATGCCTGGCCAGCCTTTTATTTTTGAAGCAGTGAGAACATCAGGTTTGCTGCTTAACTGTCACCTACTGGCTTATAAGATCTGTCAGGGTGCAGTGGCTCACACCTGTAATCTCAGCAGTTTGGGAGGCTCAGGCAGGAGGATTGCTTGAGGCCAGGAGTTAGAGACCCGCCTGGGAAACACAGAAAGAACCTGTTTCTATAAATAATTTAAAAACTAGCTGGGTGTGATGGCACACTTCTGTAGTCCCAGCTTCTTGGGAGGCTGAGGCAGGAGGATCACTTGAATCCGAAAGTCGAAGCTGTTGTGAGCAATTATAGCTCACTAGGTGACAGAGCAAGATGCTGTCTCTTAAAAAAAAAAATCTAGTAAGCCCATTAGAGATAAGTGCTCCACAAATATAAATTTTTTCTTTTTGACTAGTAGGTTTCTAATGTTTCTCTTTAACTGACGTTAGGAATTTTGTTTTTTTTTTATGTTTTTATGGGAGATACTATGTCTTCATCTTTGCATTTCTAACACAGGTGTCTTACAAGTATCAAGAACTTAATATATGTGGTTGAATAAACAATCAAGGTAAACAGCATCAAGTAAAAACTTCTGCTTGTTGATAAGTACTTCAGACATTCCCCCAGTGGCTAAAGTGGCATATGAATTACGAAGTTGGGTCATTTGGAATGAATGTAAGAGAATTGCCAAGGTATTATTTGCTTATTTCAAGAATCTGTGTTTCCCACTTAATTGAGTTGTTGTTGTCCAATGATGTTTTCACGTCTTAGGTTTTGCAGCTTGCTTGGTCTAAGGATTTGAGAAAGAGTTTGTTTTCTCAAACTTGCACTGAACAAACATTAAGTACCCTGTTGAACTGTGAAAAGAATGAAGAAAATACTCAATTGCTACCAGTTTGCCTGAATTGGCTTTTTTCCCTTCTTCTTTTCTTTCTTAGGCTCCTCCTACTCCAGAGAGGAAACCTCATTCAGGGCCATGAGGCTACTTCCTCACCGTCTGTGTGCTGCTTAAGCTAATGCTGCGGGAACTATGATTCCTTGGGAGGAATCAAGCTGACTCTTGGCATGAGATCCCTGCCTTCCTAGGGTTGAGAGCGGCACCGCCATGGCTTCTCTGGATGACCCAGGGGAAGTGAGGGAGGGCTTCCTCTGCCCTCTGTGCCTGAAGGATCTGCAGTCTTTCTATCAGCTTCACTCACATTATGAGGAAGAACACTCGGGCGAAGACCGTGATGTCAAAGGGCAAATTAAAAGTAAGAGGCAAGGACCTTGCTGGGTCATATATATACTATATAGGACCTTGCCTATACCCTGCTGTCATTGAGAGCTTTAACTCACGGGATAGTTCTCATCAGCTTCAGTGTTGCCACGGGAATATGATAGTAGTAGTAGCAAACAAATGACTAGTGTTTGTCATGTGCCAGGCATTTTCAGAGTCTCCCTGTTTATTTATTTCATTTAATCCTCACAATAACTGTGTGGCTGTGAGCCACATTTTGCACCAGACACAAAGAGATTAGATAACTTATCTAAAGCCACTCAGTGAAACACAGTTTGACTTTGAATCTAGTAAATGTAATTGCTGTGATCTGGCTTGACTATTCTCTAACTACTAGCCTAATAGAATTTGGAGAGGAATTTCTTCCTTTGCTATGATGATGGAGGCACATTATGCACCCATTTTACCTGTCACAAATTTAAGCCTACCTACCATCCTTCCTTCCCCAACTGGTATCTTGCCCTCTGTAGCCCAGAAAAAGGAAGGTCGTAGTTGAAAAACAAAAGAAACAATCTGAAAACCTTGGTTTTTGAGCTTCCAAGAGCTCAGATCTGACTGAGAGAGTTGTGGAAAGAATTTTTCAAAGGTACTTTTGACTATACATATCTTTATTGTATTTCCTGGACATCAAATTCTAACCTCCAGATAAGATGCTTCTCCTCTGGGCGGGCACAGTGGCTTATGTTTCTATTCCCAGCACTTTGGGAGGCCAGTGTGGGTGGATCACTTGAGCTCAGGAGTTCAAGACCAGTCTGGGCAACATCGCGAAACCCACCTCACAAAAAAATTAAAAAAAAAACTAGCCAGATGTGATGGTGCACGCCTGTTGCCCCAGCTACTCAGGAGACTGAGGTAGGAGGATCGCTTGAGCCCAGGGAGGTCAAGGCTGTAGTGAGTGATGATCATGCCACTGTTGCCTGGGCAACAGAGAGAGAGAGACCCTTTCACACACACACACACACACACACACACACACACACACAAAACAAAGATGCTGCTCCTCTGGGACTTATTTTTGTAGTTTTCAGCTAACTTGCTTCTCACAGCTGGCAGCATTTCTGAAGGCCATGAGATTAAAAAGTTCTGGATGCTGTATTCATAGTCTTTATTGGGAGGGAAAGAAAGGAATGACCATGTATTTCTAAGTGTGCTTTGGCTTTCTTTTTTTTTTTTTTTTTTTTTGAGACAGAATTTTGCCTGTCGCCCAGGCTGGAGTGCAGTGGCTGGATCTCAGCTCACTGCAAGCTCCACCTCCCGGGTTTACGCCATTCTCCTGCCTCAGCCTCCCGAGTAGCTGGGACTACAGGCGCCCGCCATGTCACCCGGCTAGTTTTTTGTATTTTTTTTTAGTAGAGACGGGGTTTCAACGTGTTAGCCAGGATGGTCTCGATCTCCTGACCTCGTGATCCGCCCATCTCGGCCTCCCAAAGTGCTGGGATTACAGGCTTGAGCCACCGCGCCCGGCCTGCTTTGGCTTTCTAACAGGTGACTCATATGTACTTTGTAATCACATAGTTGTCCCTAGAGTCCCACTCTATCTCACTTTTCTGTTCAGTAAAAAAGAGTTTCTAAAAGCATAAACAGTTGCAACTTCTATCCAAAAAAAACAAAGGCAAACATTTCTGAAATCCTGAGGGCTATGGTGGATGAGGTGGCTTCTGGCTGTAGAGGCTGTAGAGCAGAGCCAAAACTATTAGGAGGGGAAAAAAAATGCTGTGCTTTATAGTTTTTAGAGTTTCTTTCACAGACATTATTATTTCATCTGACTCTCCTAACAACTCTGCAAGAAGGTGATTGGTCTTATTTTATAGATAGTAAGTGAAGTGAGGCTCAAGAGATGTTGAGTTACTTATCCACGGTCACACAGGAATTGCAGAGCTAGGCCTGGAATGTAGGTCTTCTATCATCTCTATGTCCAGTGCTGCTGTTTGCATGTGACATCACAGGGTGAGAGGCCCCGTGTTTCAATCACAGCGTGCATTGCAGCTTCCTGGAGGAAATGAAGCAAAAACAAAACTGAAAAACCTGATTATGTAAGTTTCCTTTGCCAACCAAAGGAAGAGCCTCCATCATTTTCAACTAGCTTCCGGTCTTGGTGTCAGCTGAACTAAGTCATATACAATGCCATTGCTAAAACTGGTGATGCCAGTGGGTAGAGAGATTAGATAATGTTCCCCGATTCCTTCACTGACCCTTTTTTAAGAGGAAGAGTGTTTAAGGTTATTTAGAGAATACAGATACGGGAATCTATTTAAGGAATACTAAATAGAATGGAAATTTTGTGCCTTGTGAAAGAAACTTGAAAGGATCCTTGGCTGGGCACAGTGACTCACACCTGTAATCCCAGCGCTTTGGGAGGTCATGGCGGGAGGATCGCTTCAGCTTAGGAGTTTGAGAACAGCCTGGGCAACATAGATCCTGTCTGTACCAAAAAAAAAAAAGAAAAAAGAATTTTTTTTTTTTAGTTAGCTGGGTATGATGACATGCACTTGTAGTCCTAGCCACTTGGGAGGCTGAAGCAGAAGGATCCCTTGAGCCCAGAAGCTTGAAGCTGCAGTGAGCCATGATTATGCCACTGCACTCCAGCCTGGGCAGCAGAGTGAAACTTTGACTCAAAAACAAAAAACAAAATAAAGTTACTTCAGCCAGGTGCAGTGACTCACGCCTGTAATTCTAGTACTTTGGGAGGCCAGGGCAGGAGGATTGCTTGAGCCCAGGAGACCAGACTGGGCAACATAGCGAGACCATCTCTACAAAAAAATTATTTTAAAAAATTAGCCAGTCATAGTGGCACGCACTGGTAGTCCCAATTACCCAGGAGGCTGAGGTGGGAGGATCGCTTCAGCTTGGGAGATCAAGGCTGTCACATTCTAGCCTGAGCAACAGAGTGAAACTGTCTCAAAAAAAAGAAAGAAAAGATCCTCTTGGTTTTCCCTTTATCTCCCACCCTGCCCTACCCCCTACATCTCTACCTCTAGTACTACTAATGATCATATCTTTAGTTAGAAAGGAATTCTTGATTATGTTGCAGTTTTCTGCATTTCAGAATCAGGAAAGTAAAGTTTTCAGGATTGACATGAAAGGTTTTTTGAAAAGCCCTTTAGAAAGCAGATTAACTCTCCATTTGGTCTTTTAATTCTTAGAAATGTTATGACATGGTTAGTTTTAGGCAAGTGAAAAGTTAAAGCCAAAAGAGTGAACCTTAGTATTAGTTTTTGGGGGCAGTTCAAAAAAGAAAAGATAGACTAGTCATTAGTAAAAAGTTTGTGGATTCGAGACCCAGTCCTGGTTCAGCTCCAGTTTAGCCCATTTTCAGTAAGTAGAAGAAAAGATAGCTGAAAATTGACTGTGGCTTCTTGCTTTGTTATTGTTTTTAAAAATATATGGGATTATTCTTAATTGACCTCCTGTGGAAGGGCTATGTCCATTCTGGGAAGATTGCCAGGTAGTTTTGCTGTCTCCTAATGTGGTTAATGGTATAGATTGCCTGTTTAACCTGATACTCTAGTCTTGTTTGCAAAAATGAATTGTTATTTGCTAACTCACATTCCTGTTTGCTAGACCCTTTGTTCACATCAGGCAGTTTCCTCTCCCCTGTTACTAGAATAGACTACTTTAGGCCAGGGACAGTGGCTCATGCCTTTAATCCCAGCACTTTGGGAGGCTGAGGTGGGTGGATCACCTGAGGCCAGGAGTTTGAGACCAGCCTGGCCAACGTGGTGAAACCCCGTCTCTACAAAAAAAAAATACAAAAATTAGCTGGGTGTGTTGGCATATGCCTGTAATCCCAGCTGCTTGGGAGACTGAGGCAGGAGCATCCCTTGAACCCCTGGGAGTCAGAGGTTGCAGTGAGCTGAGATAGCTGCCATTGCATTCCAGCTTGGGTGACAAGAGTGAAACTCTGTCTTAAAAAAAAAAACTACTTTAGTGCATTTTAAAGGATGTCCTTTTGTTTTGGTATTTTTCCAGTTTGGACAAAGCTGTTCCACAGTGACCAATAATCAGAAAGTTTGCTTATTGGCTTGACTGTATTAAAAGAAGACGAGTGTATTCTTATCAATCTCACCCTCTGCCTGCGAGCCTAGGCAATATCTCTCCAAAAAAAAAAATTTTTTTTTTAATTACCTAGTTATGGTGGTGCACACCTGTGATCCCCAGCTACTTAGGAGACTGAGGCAAGAGGATCACTTGAGCCCAGGAGATCAAGGCTGCAGTGAGCTATGATTGTGCCACTGTACTCCAGCCTGGGTGACAGAGCGAGACCCTGTCTCTAAAAAATAAATAAATAAAAGGTAAAAGTAATGATATCATTTTATATTCAGTCTGATATTTTCTACTAGATTCTGGTAGAAGAAAGGGGTAGCATTCATCCAAGATTAAAGAACATTCATGAGAGAGCGAGAGCGACTTAGAACTGAGAATTCTTTTTTTGCCCCTGCCAGCTGATTGTTCAGTTTAACAGGTGGTTCGCTTCACCAGCACAGGTGGCAGAACCCATGTTCTGCAGAGGCATAGTTTGTGAATCAGCACTAGCTGGGGAGAGCTGGAGCTCTCATTTCAGACACATGAGGTGTCTACTTCCAGCCCTGCTGTTATCTGTAAGCTCTGTGATCTTGGGTGAAGCAAGTTCTTCCCCGTCTTTGATGTTGTTTCCTCATTTGTAAGTAGGGCTGTCACCTGCCTTATAACATTGTGAGCATGAACTGGCATGATGTATTTGCAAGCACTTTGCATTGTGCCTGGTACATACAAGGTCTAAATATAGGAAATGTTCATTTTCTCTTCTTACCAAATCTGGTTCTGTTTGTGTTATGTTGTAGATGTTATATCTGTTTCTTGAAGCTTTTTGCAAATATTCTCACATGCATTCAATAAGTGCGTGGGCAGTAGTGGGGAAGGAAGAACTCTGTGTCTGGTTAAGCCTATGGGGAACACCAGTCCAGGGATGGAGGTTTAGCTGAATCCCATCCTGGAGGTAAATGAGAAGAATTTACTCATGAGTTTCTGGGGTAAATTAATTAGTACTATAGAACTTGGTTTTTAAAAAACTTTATTTTAATTGAGGTATAGTTTTTAAGCGTACACTTTTATTTTATTTTAAATTTTTTTTCTTTTTTTTTTTTTTTTTGGTGACAGGATCTCATTCTGGTTGCCCAGGCTGGAGTGCAGTGGCACAATCTCAGCTCACTGCATCCTCGACCTCCTGGGCTCAGGTGATTCTCCCACCTCAGCCTCCCAAGTAGCTGGGACTACAGGTGCATGCCACCACAGCCAGCTAGTTTTTTGTATTTTTAGTAGAGATGGGGTTTTGTCATGTTGCCCAAGCTGGCTTGAATTCCTGGACTCAAGTAATTCGCCTCCCTTGTGGGATTACAGGTGTGAGCCACTGTGCCTGGCCCAATTCAAAAAGTTTTAAAAAATGTATATACCCACTTAACCACCACTCCAATTAAGATAAAGAAGAAAACACTTCCATCACCCTGTTTTCCTCATCAAATTTGATTTTAGCACTTTTATTTAATTGTGCTCTTAAGTTTGGCAATGAGCAGTAATTTAGCCCATATTTCGGCCACCTAAACCAATTTAATGCTAATACTGACTAACCAGTGTATTGCTCTGTGGTATTTGTAGTATAGTGTTTGTGTGCTTGTTCCTGCATTTTACTTGGGATCTGAATATTTCTGGTGCATTTTTAAACAAATGATAATTATTTTGTTAACTCTTATTTTTTGAGATTTCTTTTGACTCTTTACTGGGTGTTCTTCATGGTTCATTTGTATTATTTGTTCCATTTTTCAAGGTCTTGTCCAGAAGGCTAAGAAAGCAAAGGACAGGTTGTTGAAACGAGAAGGGGATGATCGAGCAGAATCAGGGACCCAAGGATATGAGTCTTTCAGCTATGGAGGGGTTGATCCTTACATGTGGGAACCCCAGGAGCTTGGTAAGAAAATTCATTTATTCATTCAGCAAGTGGTTATTGAGCATCTGCTATGTTCTAGGTAAAGTTTTAAAAGTTGAGGAGGCATCAGTAAACCATAACGGTCTAAGCTTCTAATGGACCTTATGCCCTTGTTGAGGGGAGAAAATGGAAGAGAACCAGCTGAGCATCCACTTTGTGTTAGGCATTACATTAAATGCTTTATACCTGTGGTCTCGTTAGATCTTCACTGCACCTCATGAGAACCTGCCCAGAGACAAACAGTGAGTAAACTGCAGAAGTGGGGTATGAATCCATATCTCTCGGACATCAGCCTAGGCACAGAGTCCATTAACGAATCTTTCCTCTCACATAGGACATTATCTGCCCAGTGACAGGCACTGGGTTATGCAGCTTACTTTTTTGAATAATTATAGTACCATCTACCTACTTTCACGTTTCTGGGATGATAAAAATTCTCTAAAATTTATTGTGATGATTGTACAACTCTTAAAATCCTAAAAACCACTGAATTTGCTTTAAATGGTGTATGTATGTGAATTATATCTCAATAAACCTATTTATCATGCCACACACACTTAGTTGAACTATCTAATCTTACATATCTGTGTTTTTGTTTTTTTGTGGTTTTTTTTGAGACAGAGACTCACTGGGTCACCCAGGCTGGAGTCCAGGGCTCCATCATGGCTCACTGCATTCCAGGCTCAAGTGATCCTCCTCAGTAGCTGAGGCTACTGGTGCACACCATCACACCTCGCTAATTTTTGTATTTTTTGTAGAAACAGGGTCCTTTTTTGCCCAGGCTGGTCTCGAACTCCTGGGCTCAAGTGACCCGCCCATCTCAGCCTCCCAGAGTGATGGGATTACAGGCGTGAGCTACTATACTTGCCTACATATCCTTTAACCATCTAATGATAACAGTCATTAATATAATAAAATATTTTCTGTCCATGAAATGGGTAATTATTCCTTTATTTATTAATTATTCCCTTGTGATTTATTAAATTTTCATGTTTATGATCTTGTTCACCTTTCACAAAAGCCTTGTGAAGTAATGATCCTTTTTCCCATTTATAGATGAGGAAACTGGAGCTCTAAGAAGGAAAGCGAAATTCACCCAGGCTTATCTACTGTACCTTTTTAGTGCCGTTATAGAAGATGTCTCTTTGAATAAGGAAAGTCCTACAACTGTGCTGTCCATTCAGTAGCCACCAGTCATGGGCTACTTAGTTTAAATAGATTAAAATGAAATAAAATTAAAAGTCACTTCTGTACCACACACTAACTACATTTTAAGTGTTCTATGTCCACTTGTGGCTATTTGCTACTGTATTGGAGAATGGAGAAAATTGCTTTAAAAATAATACTATACAGCCGGGCGTGGTGGCTCACGCCTGTAATTCCCCAGCACTTTGGGAGGTTGAGGCGGGTGGATCACAAGGTCAGGAGTTCAAGACCAGCCTGGCCAATATGGTGACACCTTGTATCTACTAAAAATACAAAAAATTTAGCCAGGCATGGTGGCACATGCCTGTAATCCCAGGTACTCAGGAGGCTGAGGCAGGAGAATTGCTTGAATCCGGGAGGCGGAGGTTGCAGTGGGCGAAGATTGTGCCATTGCCCTCCAGCCTGGGTGACAGAGTGAGACTCTGTTTCAAAAAAAAAAAGAATAATACTATACATATGTAATTATGAGATACATATGAAAGCCAATCCAAAACACGAAGGAGAAATTTTGGACACATGAATTCTTATTAGCTTTGTTTCATGATTGCCCATGTGAGATTACTGGGGTGATTTTCTGATTAAGTTGCCAGTTGCAGCAACTGAAGACAGTCACAAATTGTAGAAGGTCAAGTGAATGGCAAATTTTGTAAGTTAATATTTATTTATGATAGCTTGTTTGTGATACCTTGTTTCATGATTGCCAGTGTGAGATTACTAGGGATTTTCTGATTAAGTTGCCAGTTGCAGTAACTGAAGTTACAAATTGTAGGTTAAATGAATGGCAAATTTTAGTAGTTAATATTTATGGTCACCCCTAAGAATTCTAAACTAAAGTTTAATTAGATGTTAGAGTATGATTAGGGTAGAAAAGACATGTGGATGGTTAAGAGTATAGCATGTGTGGCCAGGTGCAGTGGCTCACCTGTAATCCCAGCACTTTGGGAGGCCAAGGCAGGTGATCACATGAGGCCAGGAGTTTGAGACCAGTTTGGCCAATGTGGTGAAACTCTGTCTCTACTAAAAATACAAAAATTAGCCGGGCCTGGTGGCACATGTGTGTAATCCAAGTTACTTGGGAGACTGAGGCATGAGAATCGCTTGAACCTGGGAGGTGGGGATTGCAGTGAGCCAAGAGATTTTGCCACTGCACTCCAACCAGGATGACAGGGTGAGACTCTGTCTCAAAAATAAGTAAATAGAAAGAGTATAACGTGGAGATGCTGATCGAAGGATACAAAATTTCAGTCGGGAGGAATAAGTCGAGAGATCTGTTGTACAAGGTGCTGATATATAGTTTTTTGTTTGTTTGTTTTTCTGAGATGGAGTCTTCCTCTGTCACCGAGGATGGAGTGTGCTGCTGTGATCTTGGCTCACTGCAACCTTTGCCTCTGGGTTCAATTCTCGTGTCCCAGCAACCTGAGTAGCTGGGACTACAGGCGTGCACCACCATGCCCAGCTAATTTTTGTATTTTTGGTAGGGACAGGGTTTCACCATGTTGGTCAGACTGGTCTTGAACTCCTGGCCTCAAATGTTCCACGCTCCTCAGCCCTCCAAAGTGCTGGGATTACAGGCATGAGCCACTGCACCTGGCCTGATTATAGTTAATGAAAATATCTTGTATTCTTGGAAGTCAGTGAGAGTAGACTTTGTGTTGTCACCACAAAAAGTGATAAGTATATGAGGTAATGCATATGGTAATTAGCTAGTTTAGCCATTTCCCAATGTATAAATATTTCAAAACATGTTGTACACGGTGAATATATGCAATTTTTATTTGGCAATTAAATTTTTTTTTTTTTAAAGCATGGCATGTGACAAATTCTGTTACACTACAGTTTATAAGTGAATAGGTGATCATTGGGAAGGAGACATACATTGAGTGCCGGGAGGGTTGAGGGCAATATGTTTCTGGAGCAGGTGAGACTGAGCAGGGGATATTTCAGGTTACTCGGACAGTAAGCTTTTTGTGTTGCAGACATTTGTCCTGGGTTTTGGCTGCTGTACTGAGGAAGATATCAGCTTAACTAGCTTCCACAAGGGAATCTATTAGCATTTACATTTTTTTGCCCATTTTGAGAATTGTCTTTATCCTGAGGAAAAACCATATTGTATCAAATTTATAAATTATAAAACAGTAAGATAATTCAAAAATTTTTAAATCGCCCATAATGTTACCACCCGGTTTATTTAACATTGGCATGAGAGTCAGTTAAGACTTTACAAATTTTAACTTACTTAATCATCGTAACAACTCTGTGAAGTACATACCGTTATTATTCCATTTGATAATTGAGTACTCTTACAGTTACAGAGATGTTAAGTAATTTGCCCAGGGTTACACAGTGTGTGGCAGAATTGAAACTTGAGCACAGGCTGACTCCAGAGTCCATGCTCTTTATCTACTGTACTCTCAGGTCTCTCATATGGTACTTGGTGGCCTCCGAAGGTCACGGTTAACAATTCAGCAGATTTTCTTCCATTTGCTTTCCTGGTTTTTTAATTTTTGGTACGACTCTAAAATCCTAGAGTTTTTACTTGCTTTTGAAATTTTTTTTTTTTCTTTCTGAGATTGGTCTCACTCTGTCACCCAAGCTGGAGTACAGTGGTGGGATCATAACTCACTGAAGCCTCCAGCTCCTGAGCTCAAGCTATCTTCCCGCCTTGGCCTCCCAAGGAGCTGGGATTATAGGCATACATGCCCATGCCTGGCTATTTTAATTTTTTTATTTTTTGGAGAGAGACGGGGTCTCGCTATGTTGACCAGCCTGCTTTTGAAATTCATTGGGATAAGTGGCAAGGTAGAGAGGCTCCCTCAGAGAAACTATAAGTCATTTGTCTCCCTACCTTCCTTCCCTCTAGGTGCTGTGAGAAGCCATCTTTCCGACTTCAAAAAACACCGAGCTGCTAGAATTGACCACTATGTTGTGGAAGTCAATAAATTAATAATCAGGTTAGAGAAGGTAAATTTTGTTGTCTTAAAACATTTTTTTTCTGCAAATACACATTTGCTGGGAAAAAATAATCACATTTCTATCACATGTGTTGTGTGTATCATATACAGCTGATGGTGGCAGAGAAACACCTTCTCTAGAGAGGTGCAGAGGATGTGGTGGACAGTTCTAGCCTGGGCCAGCATTCCTTAACAGAATGGCCCAGGCTGACAAATTTGCCACATGCTCAGCTTCCCTTTTCCCACCTATGAATCCCACTCAGGTGCCAGAAAACCTTTCTTCCTTCAGGTTCTTCTTTTGGGTGTCCCAGGCACAATCACCCAGTGAGGTGTAGTGTGTGATCGCAAACAAAGAAGCGGTGACCAGGTCTCACGGGTGTATTTTGATCCTGGATGTGCTTGTTGTGTGTAACCTGGATTGTGTGCTGGGCATAGTAGCAACCACAAGTACAGTTCTTTATGTGTACTTTGTAAGGCAGAAATATGTGGCCAGTTTTAGGGTCCAGGAGCACTGTGGAGAATGGAGAGTTTTCCATTGCTTTCAGTCACTGCCCCTACCCATCCTTGCCTACCCCTGATTATTGCTAAAATGGGTAACTGACAATAAAGAGATTAGAAGTGGGTCATAGGAAGGGAGGTAGGTTCTAGATGTAAAACTAATACCCTGTCCCATGTGAAATTGCTTTTGTGATTTTGTGGAGTTGGGGATGACAGATGAGACTTGAGAAATCCAAATGTGCTAATTTCCTGCTTGATGTATTGGAAAATGTGGAGCATGTATACATCACCTGGTTAATTTCATTTGGCAATATTTTCTCCCGGTCAGCTCACTGCGTTTGACAGAACAAATACTGAATCTGCAAAGATTCGAGGTAACTTTAAAACTTTGCTCACATTCATCTTATTATCTTTTTTCCCTGACCAAAGCTCTCTTTAAAAATGGCCTGCTTTCTTGTTGGTTTGCTCTTCCCAAAGCAATAGAAAAGTCTGTGGTGCCTTGGGTCAACGACCAGGATGTCCCTTTCTGTCCAGACTGTGGGAATAAGTTCAGCATCCGGAACCGCCGCCACCACTGCCGCCTCTGCGGGTCTATTATGTGCAAGAAGTGTATGGAGCTCATCAGCCTTCCCTTGGCAAGTAGGTGACTTGGAGGTGGGGCCCTGGACCCTCATCTTCTTTTGGGTCTAGCTTATTTGCTGATCACCACTGGGACCGTGGAACCTTTTTGTTACATTAATGGCTCATGGGAATCTTCATTCATTAAGTTGCTGATTCTGTGAAACCCACTACAGGCTAGGTACTATGCTAGGGGCAGATACAGTGATCTATAACAGGGATTGGCAAACTTTGTAAGGATCAGATAGTAGATAAATTTAAGTTTTGTGGGCCACATATGGTTGCTGTGACATTTTTTCTTTCTTTAAACAACCTTTTAAAAATGTGAATACTAGACTGGGCACAGTGGCTCACGCCTGTAATCACAGCACTCTGGGAGGCCGAGGCAGGTGGATCACTTGAGGTCAGGAGTTCGAGACCAGCCTGGCCAACATGTTGAAATCCTGTCTCTATAAAAATACAAAAATTAGCCTGGTGTGGTGGCATGTGCCTGTAGTCCCACCTACTCAGGAGGCTGAAGCAGGAGAATTGCTTGAACCTGGGAGGCGGAGGCTGCAGTGAGCTGAGATTGAGCCACTGCACTCCATCCTGGGCGACCGAGTGAGACTCCCATCTCAAAATAAATAAATAAATAAAATAGCAATGTGAAAATTATACTTAGTTTGAGAGCCATATAGAAACAGCCTGCAGGCTGGACTTGGCTCACAGGTCATCTTTTGCCCATTTCTGGCCTATAAGCCTATAAGACATTGTTCATTCTCCCAAGGAGTCTAGCATCTAGCAGGGGGCATAAACTCACAAATAAATAATTGCTTTCTAAAGAGAGATGTACAATGAAAGAGATTGTGTCAGGCACTCAGGAGAGGCTGACCAACTCTTTGTCTGCTCTGCTTGGAAGTGGCAAGTGTGATTTTGAGAAGAGGGTCTTGAATATAAACAGTGGGCTAGTCCCTTCCTGTGGGATAAGTCACACACAACTCACTGTCATATAGAAAAGACTAATATAATATGAGAGATGCTGAGTGCTGTGGGTTCAGGGACAGTGAGAGCATGGATGCTTAGGGCTGGGAGGTGATGTTCGAAAAGAGCCTTAAAAGATGAGTAGGATTGCAAAAGAGATGGAGAAAGGACATTTTAGGTAGAATGAACAGCAGGAGCAAAGGCATGGAATTCTGGAAAGCCCAGGGTAGGTTAATAGAGGAGCAAATAGAATAGTTGGGGGTGTGTGGAGGACAAAGTTTAGGTGGAACCCGATCCTCCAGGACTTTGCAACCAAGCTGAGTAGAAGTTGCTGAAGATGATCTCATTGGCTTCTGGGAAGTTTGGGATAAATTTACACTAGAGAGTTCTGCTGACTCTGCATGCTGTTGGCCACGGGGTGTCTGGATAATGTGGGGACAAAAACAGATGCTGCTTCTGTCCAACTCTCACATATACCAGGTCACTTTACCTTGATACTTCCTCCCTGAGACCAACTCCCTGTCTCATGTACATAAGACTATAAGCAGCCTTTTTGGGACACTATTCATCCTTCTTCTCTTGAGCTCTTTAGCCAGCATTTACTGGGCAGCTGCTGTGGGGTGGCCCTGCTGGATATGTTAAGGGTACAAGTGTGAGTAAGACACAGTTTGTACCCACAAAAAGTCATAGGTTCCTAGGGCAGCTCTGGGGTGTACATGTAACTGTACACAGGGAGAAGAGTGGAAAGTGCTCTAAAATGGGCAATGTGGTGGGAACTGATGGGAAGGATGGATAGTTTTTGCCTCAGGGAATTGGAAAAGGCTTTCCTGGAGGACCTGCCATTCAGAGAGGATAGGAGCCAGATGTTTGGGAATAGGGAGAAGGCTGTGGAGGAAAATCTCCCGGGAGAATCTTTGTTGTGTTGGAGGCACAAGGCAAATGGAAGAGAGTGGCAGGTGGAAAGGCAAGGTTGTTTGGATTTGGAGGGGCAGCAGTGGAGTCCTTTCCCACCAGAGTCTGACACCAGGAAGGCAGAGGGGCAGTACTTGCCCACACCTGGAGCCTGATCTTGTTACTCTCTAAATCAAACACCTGTGGACTGCCGCCTTGAGGTCGTGGGTATGGTAATTGGATGCTGTGGGGGTCATTGCTGCCTGTTGGTGTTGTGGTTACAGACAAGCTCACCAGTGCCAGCAAGGAGTCCCTGAGCACCCACACCAGCCCCAGCCAGTCACCCAACAGTGTCCATGGCTCCCGCCGAGGCAGCATCAGCAGCATGAGCAGTGTCAGCTCGGTCCTGGATGAGAAGGACGATGACCGGATCCGCTGCTGTACACACTGCAAGGACACGCTGCTCAAGAGAGAGCAGCAGATTGATGAGAAGGAGCACACACCCGACATCGTGAAGCTCTACGAGGTGATTCGCGCTGTCTGGTCTTGGGTCTAATTTCTTAGGCAGATTTTGGCTGTTTGTTATGTACACTCCTGCAGATTCTGGAGAATGCTTTGGGAAGTTGTTCGTCTGAATTATTTGTAGTTCCTGTTAAAGGCCCATGTTATGATTTCCCAGCTAGGGCCCTGTGTGAGTCAGAGTCATCCTGGGTGTGTTGCAGCAAACTTGTTTCAAGTGGCCTTCCTTGGCTACTTGAAAGCAGGAGGGTGGAGGCTTTGGTGGCCCAGAGGCAAGAGGAGGAAGGGCAGTTGCCACGTGGTGTAGACAGGTTCGGTGGGGAGAGCAGAAGCTAGAGATGTTCATAAACAGTGGGCCAGAAGAATCCCGGGAAACTCACTTGGGAGTGTTAGACTTTCCAAGTTTTAGAAAGTTCTACAAGTTTTCAGACTTTACCAGTTTACTGAGTGTCCCCTTCTAAGTTTGTCCAAATGCCTCAGCTGTCATTACTATGAGCGATCCCACAGCCCCCCTACTAGATGCATACTCTGAGAGGAAATAGTGTGCAAAGACTATCTGGGAGTGAGACTGGCTTGGTCCCTTAATGGCCGGGTGAGACCTGTGAGCTGAGGAGGACTAGCCAGGTGGACTGGGTGGGCAGGCAGTAAGAGATGCAGGGAAGAGATCAGCCCAGGCAGAGGAAGCAGCTTGTGCAACATTCTGAACAGAGGAAGATATATTTTTGTCTGATGACCACTGAATAGTCATTGTTAGCAGTTCTGCAGGTCATAATGGCATGTTTCTGGAATCCCCATGTAAATACTCAGGCTACTAGAAATGGTGTTAATTAAGCCCCATGTTGGGTTGCAGATGTAGCCATTCTCCATCCTTTGTGTGGAGTTCATGACCTGGTATCTCATTTCTGTGAATACCCACTGTGCTTGTGCCACTTCCTCTTTTGAAGTGAGCCCTGGCAATGCCTTGTGCTGGTTTCCTAATGTTGCCTGGCATCACTTGGCAGAGAAAGAAAGTAGCAGCTAATTCCTTTTTGTCTTGGTAGACACCTTGGCTTGTGCCCTGGAAGCCTTACTCCTCTCAAAAACATCTGGCCGGGTGTGGTGGCTCACTCTTATAATCCCAGCACTTTGGGAGGCCAAGGTGGGCACATCACTTGAGGCCAGGAGTTCGAGACCAGCCTGGCCAACATGGCAAAACCTTGTCTCTACTAAAAATATAAAAATTAGCCGGGCGTGGTGGCACACACCTGTAATTCCAGCTACTCAGGAGGCCGAGGCATGAGAATCACTTGAGTCCAGGAGGCAGAGGTTGCAGTGAGCGGAGATTACGCCATTGTACTCCAGCTTGGGTGACAGAACAAAACTCCTCAAAAAAAAAACAAAACAAAACATCTGGTCAGAAGCTCCATTCTCACTTTCTTTCCTTCCTACAAAATTTTCTGCTTGGAAAGTAGGTCTATAAATCAGGAAATTGATAACAACAATTAATATGTTGGAAAAGTGAACATTTATATATCTCCATTGATGGAGCCTAGCTTCTGGGTAGGCTTTTCTCTATCTTGAGCATACCACTTACCGCTTTGTTTTTGTTCTTAGAAATTACGACTTTGCATGGAGAAAGTTGACCAGAAAGCTCCAGAATACATCAGGATGGCAGCATCATTAAAGTAAGCTATTCATCTATGTTTTTCTAATCCAGTGGTGACTGTTTTCTGGCATCTTAGGTCAGTTCTCCAGTAGCCAAAAATGAAAATCTTAACTTCAACTGTGCTTTTTTTCTGAGACCAGCTGAAGTTGGTTTTTTTCCACTTTTGGCTGTTATGAAGAGAATCACCTTCATGTCTGTCTTTTAGTGGGGTACATGTTACCATCACATGAGCTTGTAAAAAGACAGCCATATTCAGTTGACCTTGGCTATTCTGACTGAGCAGGCTTGGGAAGGGCCTCAGACAATAGGTACTGCTGCTGAGTGCAGCATCTGGACAGAGCAGAGGAAGGGCAGTGGGTGTCATGCTCATGCCTGGGTAGATGCCACTTGAGTGTCACATTGAGGTGTCAGGGCTTAAAGTAGGCATGTCCATTAGAGCAGGGGCTGGCAGACTGCAGCCCATGGGCCAAATGTATCCTGACATCTGCTTTTTTTTTGTTTTTGAGACAGAGTCTCACTGTTGACAGGCTGGAGTGCAGTGACGTGATCTCGGCTCACTGCGACCTCCACCTCCCGGGTTCAAGTGATTCTCCTGCCTCAGTCTCTCAAGTAGATGGGACTACAGGCACACACCACCACACCCAGCTAATATATA